AATCTAATGGAGACCTATGTTATAAGGAGGCTGAGGGTGTTGATTGACATGTTGTGAGTCTTGTTAGGAAGAAATGCACATGTAGGACATAAAATTTGACAGAAAAATCATGTCCTTATCCCATTAAAGCTTTAAAATATGATAAACAAATCATTGGATGAAATGCATTAGTGGTACTGATCAATAGAGGCTTATATGTTGGTGTACCCATATAAAACTCAACCACTTAAGGGTGAAAATTTCTGAAAAGTGTATCTCTCGCATGCTATTGAGCCACAAGAAGTACATAAAATGGTTGGTAGATCAAAAACTAAGAAAGTAAGGGAAAAGGATGAAGCAAGGAAGAGGGAGGGATTATTGTCAAAAAGTGAAAAATGACTGAAAATGTCATGTGGTCACTGCAAGGCAACAAGTAATTACAATAAAATGAATTGTCTGCTGGTAAATTCATTATTCCTTAGTTAGTCAACTTTTACATTATTTATTTAATAGTCTAGCTACTATGTCAATTTTTTTAGATTGAAAGAAGAGCATAAGTTCTTCCAGATGTGTCACTATCAATACCACAACCAAGTAAAGAATATGTCTTCATTCCAACTCATGGATTTGATCTCCTAGTCACCACACAATCCAACCAAGAATTGAAGTTGTTGGCCCTTCAAACTCGAAGAGGAAAGCAATGGACAAGATGTATGTACTACTTCAAGCACAATTTATCAATTTATTATACTTTTAAGAGCATTTATTGATGAAGATGAAGATGAGCTTGAATGTGAGAATAAGACCATAATAATTAGGCCTAGGACAATATGTGAAGCTAAAATTAGGCTTCAAATGAAGAAGTTGCATCAACTACCAATAGGGTCAAGAAAGATTAATTTCTCGGGTGAAGAGAGTGGTGTAAGTATGCCTATTAATTTGTCATACTCACCAAGAAAGTTAATTTGAAAAGGTAAATCACGTATAACCTCAAATTAGTTGGCAATAAAAGAAAAGATTGGCAAACTAAATGCATAAAGAGGCAAGCATTAGAAATGACAATTATGCATTATGCCGTGGTATTTGTTTGTTATGTAAAGACACAATGAAATCTTTTATTTTATTGTTGTGAATCTGTAACACCCCGTAGCCTTAAGAGGGAAGTTTAGCATGTTTTAAAGTTTCCAAATGTCACCCACGAAGCCACCCTCGCCACGTGGTTGGACCCACGCCCTGTAGGTGGGCAGCGTGGGTGGATACCAAGAGATTCTGCCTAAGGCAGTGACCACGGGCAGGACCCACGCCCCGTGGATGGGTCTACTCCTCGTGGTAGGAGTCTTGGATCCAAGCCCTTGTTGCCAACCTCAAGAACCCAAACCACGATTGACCAACACGAACCGTGGGTCCACCCACGGCCCATCAGCGTGGTCTCGTGGTTGGGACAAAATGGGGCAGCTGGGCGGTTAAGTTTAGGGGTACTTTGGAATTTTTCGATTTTAATTAGAATTAAGTGGTTTCGTTTTACCCTAATCTAGACCACCTATATAAGTAATTTAGACCCCTAAACTAAGTCATTCAAGTAATTATTTCAAGATCCCAAAAAAACCCAATTCCCTCTCAAATATTCTCTCTCTAGAAAGTGAAGAAGAAGAAGAGGAATCAAGCTAGGTCAAGCCAAGTCTCCATTGTTTCAAGCTTTGTGGGCATTGTAATCAAGGTATGATGGCTTATTCATTCATGGATTTCATTCATCCATGAAGCCCCATGTTTTCCCCAATTTAGAAGAAGAATTCCCCAAGTCAATCTAGGGTTTCTTCTAATGTTACGGGTTATGATCCAATAGAGTGGATTATGATTATTTATGATAGAATTGCATGTTTTTAGTAATGATTATACATGTATCCATGCTTAACCTATGATTCTAAGGTGAATTTGATATCGTTTGGTTTTAGGCCATGAAAGGGGAAATTGAGGGCTTAGATGTGATCTTCTAAGATTGATGAATTACTTTATAGATTGCTTGGGTTTAGAGCACATAGATATGGATTGCTTAAGAGTAAATCATATAGACATGAATTGAATTAGATTAAAGCTTACGTGATTAATTATGATTGTTAGTGCTTGAGATTGAGCCTATAGGAGGATATATGATTAGAATTGCCTAAAAATGAAGCACGTGGTTAGAATGTCTTGAGATCTAGGCATATATGATGATCATGAGAAGTATTGCTTGGAGAGTAAGACTTGTAGTTATGAATGAGGAATTTCTAGGGTTTGAGAATAAGGCTAATATGATGAACTATGAATGTTAAGGCTTTGAGAGTAAAGCTTATATGTATGTTGATTTGTATATGGTATTGTTGTGGAAGGATTTTACCCACATGACCTATATTATGAATGTATGAGATTATGCATGTCTTATAGAACCTATGTAAATGCTTTAAGAACACTTTCAAAGTGAAGTATTAATGAATATAATATTGTTGTTGTGATGATTGAAATGACATTCTCATGAACACATAATGAACATGATGTGAAAGGTTTTCTACATAATGAAGATTCTAGGTTGAAAGGTTTGCTCACCTAAAATGAATCTAAGAGTAAAAGTGATCATGGATGGTAATGAGTGCTCACACATGATCTAATATCATAATGAACTATGACATACTTAAAGAAGTATTTCATAGTGTTCAAAGGCTTCATGTAAGACCTATATTAGCTTGAAGTAGTGATATGATATCCCTTCATGAATAGCTTGACTTGGTAAGACAAGACCATGCATGGTAGCTTGAGATAGTAGAACTCATGGGTAGCCTTGGATTGAGCAATCGTACCCTTCCAACGTAGCTTGAACTAGCATAATAGAATGCTTGCATGATAGCTTGACTTGGTGAGGCCACATCATTTCATGATAGCTTGGATTGAGCAGTAGTACCCTTCTATCATAAATTATACAAAAAATATATTTTAAATATCTATCATAAATTTTGTATTTAAAAAGTACATATTACAGTTTTTAATCAATATAATAGATAAATAAATCAAAGAAAATATTAAATATTAATATAATATTAATCATGATAATTTAAACATAATCAATAACATCAAGCCAAATAAATTAAATAACAATTCCACAAATTAAAATATATAATAATAATAATAATAATAATATATAACGTAAAATAAAATAAATAATTTATTGTGTGAAAATGAAGAATAAAATTCTTAAATATAGATTAATCAAACTTATGAAATATGCTAATTAATTAACAAAGGATATATCAGCAAATATGTAGAAATGATAAGGATATTTTTGTCTTTGAAAAAATTATTTTCTACACTTGTTTTAAGAAGCAAGTTTTTTTAGCTTCTACTTCTATTTAAACGTCAAACACTTTATTTTTTTAAAAAGAGTATTATTTCTATATATATAAAAAACAAACAAACATGTTTTTGACCTCCCAACAGCTAGGCTAAACATGCTCTTAATTGACATAATATAACCTTGTCTTTCAACATTAAGATTGAATAATCATTTTTCATATTTTTGAACTATTAATTTGGTACCACATAATCAATCAAAATGATAACTGAAATCAAAACATTATTCTTTCTTCCCAGAATCTATATCCATTACTAAAAACATCTAAAAAATTGACCTAAGGGAAATTGGGGAAATTGATCGCAAAGAAATCAAGGAAAAATAGACTTTATTCCTCAATTTATACATTTTTTTATTTATTTTATAACTATTTCTTTAATAAATTGTCCCTGTGCATCTGCATGATTTTAGGGAGAAGAATATTCTACTCAACGTGAAGGTAAAGGAAAGAAGATTTGTTCAACTTAATGTTCCTATTAAAAAGTAGCATATATAAATGACCATCCACGAAATTAGTTTCACAAATTAAATATCCATTTGTCCCTAATTACTTGTCCATTTTTTATTTGACGCAATGATCGAAATAGTAAATTTATCATTTTATCCCTATTAATTATGAAATGAATGAATTAAAAATTTAAGTTTTTGTGATACTTGAAAATTCTAAAATATGCATAGTTCTATCGTTCATAATATAATCGGGAACCTTCATCCACTTAATTGATAAATAAATTGGTAGATATAGCTTTAGATTAATGGGATTCATTAAAGAGAGATAGTATTCAAGTTCAATTACCACAAGTCACGAAGAAGTTTATATAGAAATAATACTAAATCTGCAAATAGAATATTATGAGTATGCTATAATATTAAATTTAAATAAATATGATATTTAAATACTATATCATATCATTTTTCATTATCATATAATTTTAATTTTTTCAAATTTTTATATCAAGTCAAATTAAATCATTGAGTTGCCCTTTAACTATTTTGAGGACCTTTGTTGTTGTTTTTCCTCAAAATCTGTGGGCTACAAAAGCAAATTGAGTATTGTATGCTACTACCAGCCTCAAAAAAGTCAAAATCTATATTGACACAACGTGGAACTCGTAGAAGCAACAAATAGGCCACAGGTGTACAAGTGATAAGGTTATCAACACTCTCACCTCAAAATCGTTAAACGCCAACTCAAAAGATGAAAGAAATACCAAGTCGTAATAATTTACGTATGAAGTTTAATTAGATTTTAATTGAAATTTTGCTTATTCAAAATCTAATTATGTCTTTTCACATCACAGCTCCATAATATATACTCTAGTATTTAATTTCGTGCCAAAACTTGAATAATATTCATATGAAGTCTATCCATCTAGTGTTGGCAGAAACTAGTTGGCAATATAAGGTGGCTTATTTAGGAACAAGACAAGTGAAACAAAACGTAACGCAAAAATAAAGATAAAGAGAGGCGTGTAATCACAACTTGATATGACATCAAAAGTCGTTTCACTTTCACATTTTCTCGGTTAACTCTCACTATCTTCTTCTTTCTAAAAGCAACGTATTTCAGTTGCAATTGCCTATCAATGTCACCCATACATATATTTCAAAAAAACAAAAACATAACAATTGAATGAAGATGGAAGAAATACCAACTCTTCCTCAAGACATCATCGTTGAAATTCTCATCAGGTTACCTCTCAAAATCCTCTTGAAATTCAGGTCTGTTTCGAAATCATGGCTTTCTTTACTCTCAGATTCGCAATTCCATAAAACCCATATCAATTTTTCTATGAACAACCCCAAATTTACCGACTACACACTTGCTGCTGTACCCACTGTTTCTGGTTTGGGCAAAATCTGTCATGTCTACACTATACGCTCTGAAAATTCATCTGTTATTGTGTCTAAACATGAGTGTCCTTCTAAGACTCTGTCTCTCTCGGCTTGGATTTTGGGGTCTTGTAATGGGTTAATTTGCTTAACTACTGATTCGTTTAATTTAATGTTATTGAATCCGTGTACTGGAAAGTTTAATGTATTTCCTGATTTGATGATTGAGTATGAAGTTGGTGATGGTGGTGTGCATATTAGATATGGATTTGGCTATGATGCATATGCGGAAGATTATAAGGTTGTTAAGATGTTTAGTTTTCCTCGAATCGGTAATGAGGGAAGAAGACATGTTAATATGGTTAGTGTTTATAGTTTAAAGGGTAATTCTTGGTCAAGTATTCAGGGTTTTGACAGTGGTTATGTAAATGGAAATGTTGGTGTGTTTGCGAATGGGGTTCTTCATTGGGAAGGATGTTATGATTATGTTTTGGGTGGTATTTCGTCTGAGATCGTTACGTTGGATTTGGCTAAAGAGAGATATGGGAGAATAGCTCTGCCTAGGTATGAAGGTGGAGGTATTCATTGGACATTAGGTGAATCAAGGGGGCGTTTAGTTGCTTGTTGCAATTATGAATCGAATAAGGCAGATATATGGGTGATGAAGGAATATGGTGTAGAGAAAACATGGACTAAATTGGTTACCATCTCATCACCGGATGATGGTAGAGTTAATATCTCGCCGTTGTTTGTGGCAGAGAATGGTGATGAGGTTTTGGTGAAACTTGGCACAGAGGTGACACTGTACAATTCAAGGAATGCATCATTCAAGCGAATTGCCGATTATGTGTCGACCGATGATTTTCTTCAAGTTCAAGTGGCTACCTACTTAGAGAGCCTTGCTTCACCTCATAGTTAGTGAACCTGATGACAGGTTACAAACATCTTGAAGGCAAAGAGAGAGAGGGTAAATGATCTTCCTGATTGCCTGGTGCCCTGTTTTCAAATTTGTGTCATGTCATTGCGTCTTTTTGTATTTTTCCTTATCTTGTTCAGGTTCTACAAATATCATGTTCAATTGGAGTTCTATATTTGTATACAACTCATATCTTGCATCATGTTGTTACAAAACCCTTAAATCCACTAATGATCATCAATGTTGAATAGGAAAGATTTGAGTGATAAACAGATGTGACACTGTACAATTCAAGGAATGCATCATTCAAGCGAATTGCTGATTATGTGTCGACCGATGATTTTCTTCAAGTTCAAGTGGCTACCTACTTAGAGAGCCTTGCTTCACCTCATATTTAGTGAACCTGATGGTTATAGAATCTCTACTTACTTTGGGAGGTCTATCATTATTTTTCTTGAATATTTTCTTCTTAGGATTCAAAGAAGTATTTTGTGAGATTCAAGAGTAGCATTATTTGAAGTAATTAAATTTACCTTCGTTGTGATGTTGCTCTCTTCTGTTTGTAAAAGTGCTTCTTGGCCCCTTGCCTCTTCTTCCATACGGATTTTCATCATCAACATTTCAAGAGAGGTTTCCTTTTGTTTGTGGCGCATAGGTTTTTGAAATTTCTTCAAAGAAGGTGGAAGTTTATCTACTATGCCACAAACAATAAGGTTATCTCCAATTTTGACCTCCTCGGACCTGAGCTCTCCAACAATCATTATAAAGTCTTGAGCGTGGTCTACTACTGATTTATTATCCACCATTTGAAAACGAAAAAATCTACTAGCTGCATATTTTTTCGCTCCAGCCTCTTCGGTATCATACTTACTCTGCAATGCTTTCCAAATTTTCTTTGCACTATAGTAAGTTCTATCATAATAATCATAAAATTTATCAGATAGACAATTAATAATATAATACCGACACTTATAGGAATCACCATCGTACTTTTTCCACTTTCTCTAGATGAGAAATAGTTTCATCATCATTTATAGAGGTGATGTCTTCTTTGTTAGGATTCTTCATAGTTAACACATAACAAACGTTGAGAAGACTTAAGTAGAAAAGTACTTTACCCTTCCATCTCTTGAAATGGTTACCATTGAACCGAAATGACTTGTTAAGATCTCCCATCTTGACATCCGTGATTTTTTCAATTGTAGCCATTATGAATCTCCTTAAAATTGTTAGTGAAATATTACAAGATAACAAAAAATACAAGATTACAGTTGAAAATAAAAAGAAGAAATAAAATCTCTTTAGGTTGAGGCGCGGATATCTCGCTCTCTTTAAGGAGATCCAAGTCCACTGCAACAAATGTTTTTCACCCGTCCAGCAATAGTCCTTCTTGACTTGTCCCCTCCAGAATACAACAGCCTTGACATAAAGTATAATTCAACAACTCTGGACAAGAGTTGAGTTCAAAACTCCACAAAAAGAAACACCTCCCTTCAACTAATAAAAACTTTTTTTTTTGACAAATTTTATGCACTCTATATTTAATTGTATGTATAAATTAAATGAAGACCACCACTATTTATAGTTGAGGATGTTTTCCTAGCAATGAATAAAAAAATAATGAGGTAATAAATAGTGAAGATAAATGATCTAGAGGTTACATAGGTTACAAAGAATAATGAGGAAGAATAATGGAGATGTAATAGTCATAATTGACCACTACACACGTTCTGCCAGAAAAACACACAACGGACAACAAATTTGCCCAACGTTTTCAGCAACGTTTATCGCTAATGAAGACTGACAATTAATCCAAATTCAACTGCCCAAAGAAGTGATGCAAAATGCTGAGTAATTAGGCTATTTTACCTAACTTCTGACAGGTGTGCAAATAAGGAATTGGAAAAGCACTTCCACATAATTTTTAATAAGAATATTAAAATGCTTCTAAACCAACAAATATCATGTTCAATTGGAATTCTATATTGTATACAACTCATATCATGCATGATATTGTTATAAAATCCTTGAATCCACTAAAGATCATCAATAGGAAAGATATGGAAGGAAATGAACAATTGAGTCTTTCAGACCAAGAAGAGAAATAATGTGGTTCTCTCAAGGAAAAATATTCAGAAAATGGTGATGCAATGTAGTTTGAAGGTCAAGTTAGCTAGTCGAATTGTGAAACTTAATTACTATCCTAGAATTATACCTATTGTGTAATTGTTTTGCTACTGATATGTTAGGACTATGCCCAACAACCAGATACGCTGTACATATTTCCTACTTTGGTATAGAAAATGTCTCTATTACAAAAAAAATATATACTTATATATATAGAGAGAGACTATTTATAAACCATGAAAAATATAATTATTTTTTCTTAACATGTTAAAAGTGATAAATAAATGAAAAAAATATATTTTTAAAGTAGTGTATAAGTGCAATTTACGGAGTTTTTAAGACAATTAGAGCATGTTTGACCAAGTGGCTAAACATTACTTATTTCTATAAGCATTTATTAAAATTATTTTTTTGAAAATTCCTTTGTAAAAATGAAAAAAGAAACAATTTGTGTTTGACTAATTTATTTGAAACATGCTTTTGATAAGTAGATTGTGTCTGACTATTCATTTTTAAATGTGCTTTCGAAAATCAAATTATGAAAAAAGACCAGTTATCAATGCACATTAAAATTAAAATTATTTATACAAAAAAATTATTTTAAATATCTATTATAAAAAAATTATTTAAAAAGTACATATTACAGTTTTTAATCAATATGATAGATAAATAATTCAAAGAAAATATTAAATATTAATATAATATTAATCATGATAATTTAAACATAATCAATAACATTAAGCCAAATAAATTTAAAAACAATTGCACAAATTAAAATATATAATAATATATAATGTAAAATAAAATAAATAATTTATTGTGTGAAAATGAAGAATAAAATTCATAAATAACGATTAATCAAACTTATGAAATATGCTAATTAATTAACAAGGGATATAATAGTTAATATGTATAAATGATAGGATATTTTTGTCTTTGAAAAAATTATTTTCTACTTCTACTTTTTTCAAGAAGCAAGTTTTTTTACCTTCTACTCCTATTTAAAAGTCAAACACTTTATTTTATTTAAAAAGTGCTATTTCTATATATATAAAAAAACAAACATGTTTTTCACCTTCCAACCGCTAGATTAAACATGCTCTTAATTGGCATAAATAACCTTGCCTTTCAACATTAAGATTGAATAATCATTTTTTCATAACGATTTTGAGGAGTCTTGTTGTTGTCGTTGTTTTTTCCTCAAATCTGCTGGCTACAAAAACAAATTGAATATTGTATTCTACTAGTAGCATCAAAATCTATTTTGACACCTAACGTGGAACCCGCAGAAGCAAAACTTAAAAGAGAGTGCAAAATTTAAAAGTTGTTTTTTTTTTAATAATAATAAAAAAAAGAGAGTGCAAATCTACCACGTGTCATTCAAATAGAAATAAGCCACAGGTGTACAAATGATAAGGTGATCAACACTCTGACAATTGACAACCAAAAACATGTTGCTTACCTGACACCTCTTATACAAGACAAAGGAAGTAACTAATTACCTCTACTCTCCGTTTAAAAAAAAAACAACAACATATGTTTGACTTGATATCGAATTTACAAAAATAAATAATTTTATAATTACAATTAATATTTCGTAAAATGTATATTTAAAAATAAATTAATTTTGTGATTTAAAATATATCTCTTGAAAAAACTAAAATATCAAAACTGGAAAAAGAAAATAAGTTATTCTTTTTAAAATAGAGAAAATAATAAACTTAGCGTAAAATATGAGAAATAAATAGTTAGAATAACAATTATACTCCTATTTATTTCACTTAATTTCCTTTTTTTTTTTTGAAAACTCTCTTTTATCGACGACTCTTTTAACATATCATATTACATAATATGAGGGGGTTTAGATTGACCTAAAAGTTGATTAAACTTACTTTTAAGTCAGTATTTGATTTTAAAAAGTGTTTGATAAATATAAAAATAACTTAAAATAAGTCAAAAATGACTTAAAATAAGATAGGAAGTGTTTGTTAAGATTAAAAATAGCTTAAAATAAGTTGAAAATGACTTAAAATAAGTTAAAAATTAAAAGTAAATCTCCTCATATTTTTTATTTTTTTGACTTAAAAGTCATGTAAATTTGACTTTTTATCTTTAACTTAAAAGCTACTTTTTAAGCCAATCCAATAGACCGTCCACAACCTTAAATATTTTTAATTTTAAAATATAAATTTAATTATTTTTATATATTTTTTTTCCATACAAAAATCACTATTAAATAAATAAATTAAAACGAGACAAACAAATTAATATAAATTGAAT